GAAATCGGAAGTAGCCCGGGGGAAGCCGACCCCGGTCAGGCTGTCGAGACATGCGAACCCATGTCAGTGTGTTTCGGTCAGGATACCCCACTGACCGGCGGCGGTAGTAACCGCTGTTAGGGCCCCGGGCTGGAACGCAGTGGAGTGGGTGGGCCTGCGTTCCCCCCTGCCACCCCACACACGGGTGGCAGGCTTCCCCCTCACCCAGCGCTCTGGTCTCGCAGTCAGAGCTTACCCGGAGTGAGGCTTATTTAGCCAGCCCCCCTGCACCAGAGGGCCTGGCCTCCTGAACTGCTTATTTAGCCAGCCCCCTGCACCAGAGGGCCTGGCCTCCAGAACTGTGTGTGTGCCCAGCCCCCCTGCACCAGAGGGCCTGGGCTCCTAAATTGAACTGCTTGTTAGCCAGCCCCCCTGCACTAGAGGGCCTGGCCTCCTGAACTGCTTATTTAGCCAGCCCCCCTGCACCAGAGGGCCTGGCCTCCTGAACTGCTTATTTAGCCAGCCCCCCTGCACCAGAGGGCCTGGCCCCCAGAACTGTGTGTGTGCCCAGCCCCCCTGCACCAGAGGGCCTGGACTCCAGAACTGTGTGTTCGCCCAGCCCCCCTGCACTAGAGGGCCTGGGCTGCTGCACCGCTTGTGGACTACTCAGCCCCCGCACCGAAGGGACTGAGAGCCGAGTTAATAGACTGTTTATTTCGTGGACAGGGAGTCGGTGTGGCTCCCCTCCTGCCCTGGAGGGTCGAGCCCTGGCAGGAACCTTTTACACAAGCCAATAATTTCCTGCTGTTCAAATATGTCCACAGCATTTCATGGCAATGTGGTACTGGGCAAAAATTAAAAAAAAAAAGAAAAAAGCCATTTAAAAAGAAAATGTATTAAAAAGACACACTTTTATATAAGTTCTGTCACATCACACTGCAGAAAAATTAATGACACTCATGGGAAGAATAAAATATAGATGTATTTAGTTTACCCAGAGATAGAATAAGTAAGAATTTAAGTCCAATTTTTTTAAATAAAATAATCCTCAACTGTCTTCTAATGTCCAAAACAGTTGGATTAGCACCATTTGCAGTTTCTAAGAGACAGTGGCAGGGAAGAGATGACATTTAAAAATAGAAAGCCATGTTATGACCTTTGTTAAATTCTGAAGCTGAAGTGAATTAAGCCACACCAATGCAACTATATTGGCACATGAAAAAGATATTCCATAAGCAAAGCTACATTAAGAGAGTAGTAAGGTTGCACTGTTAGAAACTCAGAAGTCAAGATAGATCATAGTTAAGGTTATATATGCAACTCCACTATGGCTCCTTGTACATACACGATATTATGGGTTTTAAGATGATCGGGTACCACAATGACAGGTATGGCATAAGAATCCAATTGGCAAAATAAAAAAAAATAATAAAGAGGAATATATAAATCATAGTCTAAAAAAGTTTGCAATGAATGGGATAAGGGAGATTATATCTATATCTCTTTTCCATATAAAATAAATACTTTAAAAACATTAAGTTTGCAAAGCCAAGCACTCGGAAGACAAGAAATTCTAGAATTAAGATTGCCTGTTCCTGATGCAGGGTTGCATAATCAATGAGGCTGTTTGCAGGACCTCTGCCTCATTCTTAGTTTTATTTTATTAAAATAACTTGAAAAAAAACTCAATTTCTTTTGTGTGCAATCATAATAGCCCTCACATATTATTCATCATCAGGGTTCAAACAAAGGATTTCAAGACCAACAACACAGACCTCTAACCACTTAAACTAAAGGAGTAACTTCTCTGATAGGTTGTTATCTTCAATGTGGACCACCCATTAGAGAAGAGAGTGATACGTTAATAGATTTTAAGCCCAGAAGGGACCATCATCTAGTCTGACCTCTTGCAAAATACAGGTCATAGACTTTCACCCAGGTTGAACAAGTTCTACTATGCTGTGCAAATGGCAATTTCTCCTGGCTGTTCATTAATTTGGCAGAATCTGGAGTGATTTTCACAGGGATAGCAAAAGGCACCTTGCTATCCCCCTATGAAATTTTAAGTTTTTGCTCTACATTGCAAAAAACACTTTATTATTAAAAATTCTGAACCCTTCCTGCACCATCAAACATTGCTTAGTGGACAAACAATTCTGTGCCATTTCTGTCTATCCTGACTCGCTCTTTGCATGTCCTCGGTCATCCAGTCCCATAAGTTTCCCTATGAGTGGTGTTTGGAGGCATTCCTTTGGTCAACCCTTTTTGCATATTCTTCCAGCTGTCCAATAGCACACATGACATGGTAGACTCCATGGTTTCATTCTTAACATGTCTCAGATATATCCATCTTCTTTTCTGGGAACTTCACAAATAAAAAGGTGCTGAACTCTCTGACAAATCATGGTATTTGTTATATATTGATTCCATTTAATACCTAGTGTTTTTCTAAGGCATTTGTTTTGCATGGCATTTAGATATCTGTCTGTACCATTTGGTGGATTTCCAGTTGTCACATCCTTACATTAAGATAGAACCAACATTTGAGTTGAAGATTCAGTTTGTTCTTTAAGTTGTAGATTTTTTTTATGACCAAATCTTGTTTAAACTGGTGAGCGCAGCTTCCACCATGCCAATTTGTGATGTTATTTCCTTGTGGGCATCGCCACTGATTTGCACTTTACTATCAAGGTATGCAAATTGACTACCTTCTTGTATTCCTTTGCCTCATAAATCAAATACTTGAGTTGGGTGTTGCTGGGTTTCTCAAATTTACTTTTCATAAGTAAGTATTAACCCTGTTTTTTGCAATGCTGGACAGTCTTCCAGTCTTTACTTGCATATTGGCTGAACTGTCATCGAAAGCTATGTCAGTAGCAAAATCGAGATCTTCTAGAGTACTGTTGAGACATGTGATACCTGTTCTGAATGTGTTATGTTTTTGGCAATGCCCAAAAAAAAAAAAAAAAAACAAACAAACACACCAACCACCACCACCACATGAAAACAAAAAACACAAACCAAAAAACCCACACTTTGGCAAAGATACCCATTTTCCCCTAACCTCGCTGTTCGAAACAGTTGAACTATTTTTGTTGAAACTACTAAAAAGATTCAAACTGAGGCAGAGACCAAACATGGAAAATTTCACCCAATGTTTAAAATTAAAAGCAATTGAAAATGGGGATTTATACTTGGAAATGTTAGGTAACCTTATCTACAGGCACTGCTCCACTTCATACACACACAAAAAATAGAAAGAAAAAAGTATGTATGCAATTCACAGGCATGTTTTCAAAACTTTTTAATTGATATTTTTATGGTTTCCTACCTATCCTCAAAGATTGGGGGGGGGAGGGGGGCGGGGGGAAACATTCCACAACCTGGAACTATATGACTAGACCACCCAGTTGTGAGCGCTACTTCGTTCAATGGACACCTTTGGCGGCACACAAAAATCACTCTACACCTAAATTAATCAGATATGTATGCACAGTACAGCACTCCTTCATTTAGAAGTTTCATAATAGTAGCTAAGTGGAATTGTACAAGTGGAGAGAGTATTTTCAAACTCTAATACCACAAACAAGACCCAGTTTTCATTGGAACACTCAAAGTGCACTTCCCTCCTCACTGAGAAGTATTTCTCCAACTACTTTCAAGTTGCTAACGCCAGCCATTTTGACATTAGCGCGATAAACTGTTTTGGCTTTTTCTATTTAAAACAAAAAAACAAAAAAAAACATGCAATAAGGGAAAGCATTTTGTCCCATTCTTCTCTCTCTCTAAAGTGGCTGAATCATTTCATTCAAATTAAAATAAAATTAAATATATAAATAAAAAGTCACCCTCCCTGATAGTGACCAGACTTGGGAAGTTTCAACCCAAGAAGTTAAAGTTTTACCACACCTTAAAAGAAACATGCACACAACCTTAACTGTAGCTGTGATTAGTGCTCTAGCTATAAACCTGATACTTGAGTGGGGAGATATAGTAATATGAACATCCTGAAACAGAGCAAGCCACCTTTTTCAATTTCACTTCAGAAAGAATAGCAGAACTACAAGAGGCAGTAGGTTTATCTAGTTTCCTATCTACATTTCAGTGTTAGGTACAATGAACCTAAATGTTGGCAGGGCCCATGACATGATACTATTCACACAGTGCCAGTACTCTACTGCAGCTAGATTAGCCATCTCTGATGACCATGAAAAGCATGACATATTGCAAGGAAAAGGAAAAATCTGAACACCTGCTGATACACATCACTGCACGTCTTAGTTCATGTGACTCAGTTCTGGCATTTTCTGCATCTCCCCAGAATTATAAAGTACCATTTTGAAATACAATCATGAAAGGTGAAATGGGAAAATGCAGAAGTACCATAGGAAACTAATTTCTTGTACAATTTTCCAAATTTGAGGTTTAGAGTAGATGTAATTCAAACAAGCAAAGTGCAGCCCATTGAGGGATTCCAATGATTCACATATTCCTATAATATGGCCTTTCATTAAATAACCAGTGCACAAGCATGAAATGCTTCCTTTTCAAGAAGCAATAACATGCTCAATGTTTTCAGCTAACCAGGAAAGCTTTACATTTCCATTCTGGTATATTTGTGAATGTTTTTTGTTCCACAGAAAATAAGGTGGGGGTTTTTTTGTTTTTGTTTTTTTTTTATTTCTCCGGTATGTGACAAATACCACTCTGAGCAAAGAGGGGGAAAATATTGAAAAGGACATTTTTAAGATATTTCCAAACATTTGGAGAGTGAGGGAGGAGCTGGTGGCTCTATCAGTCTTGTGTTCCTAAAACACAGACTGCTGGCTGCTTTATTCAGCTCCTTCTTACATTTGCAGATGTCATTCCAAAGGAAGTTGCATTTTTAGCAAATGACAGTAAAAACGTATTCCTAAATTATGTTTTACTGAAAAATTTTTAGGTAGCAAGAAAATTTGCTGTGGATGAGTTTGAGAGTCTTATATTTAGGTTACATTATAAATCCACCCATCTGTCTTTACCTCTCTTTCTTCCTGCTCCCTCTGCTGGAGTCTGAGGATCCTATGGTTGGCTGCTTGCACTGAAACAAACAAATTGCAGTCTATTAATCAGCTGCCCTAGCTCAAAAAGAGAAACCTGACTGAAAGAGGCTTAAAACCCATGAGGCTACTGGGACACTATCACTGTACACAAAAAGACTGTGGGTTTTGCCCACTGGGGTCACTTACCTTTGGATTGAAAAGTTTTCCCGGTATTTGTAGGAAGCACTCTATGTGGACATAGAGCACTAAGTTGTACCCTTGGGCTTTCTAGAAGCCAAACAGGAAAGGCAGCCAAGTCCTCCTGTGCCCATATTCCATAATATTGCTGACGAGTTACTGTGTGCTACTCAGCACCGCAGAAAAGATCTAGAAGTCTTGTAAACCAATAACTAGAACCAGATGGGGTGAACACTAAGTTTTGGTTGTTTCTTTGTTAATTATTTTTTTCCAAATATAAATGATTTAGTAAAAAATTATACAAGGAGAACATTTTTAAATTGGAGCTAGTCTCCTCTACATTGTGATCCTAGCTCTATCAAAATGTGTTAGCAACAGTGGTAACTGTATTTCTAGCCAGTTTCAGACTTGTTTGACATCATATTCCATACATGCTGTGCACAATGGAACAGACTCATCTTTCCCTCAACAGGTGTCTTGCATTCAATAACACAAAACTTAGTTTCCTGAAATATTTATCAGTCACTCATTTATTCTTATAATCATTAAAGCAATAGTACTGCCGTATAGATTACACAGCTAAGCACTCAAAAGTCAGGTAATGGCAATTTCAAGGTTGCTATGCCCCCTAGTGTGTATATATTTGGATACAGGCTTTACTCACATGATTGCATTCTTTGAGTAGTAGTATGCAAAGTATAAATATTTTTCTACAATCTTTACTACACGTGTGTAGTATCTCCTTCTGTGTACTACTCTATATATGCCAGAGACCATGCTTATACATATTACAAGTTGATTATAACAAAGTGAAATATTATTGACATATATAAACTAATTTTACAGCTAGATTGAATTTTGTAGTTAATTACCTAATCCCAATTTGTGTCTAAGAAAGGCTGTGCTGCTGGCTGAAATGAAAGTACAAAATACAGAGGCACTGACAAAGCTAGTAAAATATAGACCTTAGAAGAGAGCACATTACATAAAATCTACGCCATAAAAGATATAATTGGATGGTTATGACTAGGAAACTAGCACTGTATCCACATACAAGAATGATCTTTTGTCATAATTAGATTCTTATATATATATAAAAATAAGAGAGCGCACGCGCATGCACACATCTGTATGCAACTTAAACAAGTTGCAAACAAAAAGTGCATTTTTGCTCCATTTTGGCCCTATCCAATTCCTGTTATGTTACTTTAAAGCCCTTCCTTCCATCGACTTCAGTGGGAGTTTTCAGACCTTAAAAAGGCAGCCAAACTTACTGTACAAATGGGAGACAGTGAAGCTTGGTAGACAGAATACTGGAGGAGTGCCCTGAGTTCAATTCCAGGGTCTAACATTGGCCTGCGGGGTTACCATGGGCAAGTCACTTCAGCTCTCTGAACCTCCATTTCTCAATCTTTAAAATGGAGATAATGATCTCCTTTGTAAAACCAGACCTTGAGATCTAGGGATGAAAAGTGCTCTAAGAGCTTTTTTTTTAAAAAACAAACATACACACAGTGTGGTTTTACAAAGGAGATCATTATCTCCATTTTAAAGATTGAAAAGATGAGGCACAAAAAAGTGAAGTGACTTCCTGTGATCATCCCACAGGATGTCAGAGCCTGGTACTGAACTCAGAGCACTGAAGTTCCAGTCCAGTGTTCTATCTATCAGGCAACACTGCCTCCCATTTACATAGTAAGTTGGGCTGCACCTTTAGGATCTGAAAACTCCCACTTAAAAGTCTGTAGCCTTTCTACTAAGTAACATTAACAGGAACTGGATAAGACCAAAGTAGAGCAGAAATACACGTTCTGTAAGTCTTTTTTAAAGTTGCACAGAGCTGAGAATTAAACATTTGCATGTATAAGGCTTATTATACAATAGAAATTTTATCAAGGATCATATATTGAGTTCAAATTATTTGAAATTATTCCTTTTAAAATACTACACCACAAAAAAACAATAGCTTCTTGCTTACATCTCTTCAACACTTCATTCAGATCGCCATGCATCACCTGCTCACATTTAGGGAGAGTTTGGTCATTTGTCTCATAGATCATGGTGTTTAGGTTTTCAAGAACTCTCACTTCTCGGAGACCACGTTTTTCCTGTTAGGAAAAGTAAAAAAAAGAAAGCTCTTCATGTGTTACATAGGTTTTTATTAGCTGATACTCATATGAAGCTATTTGTAATTATTTAGCTCTAACTGGACTTTTTAAGGTTTGTAATAACATATCACACTGTTCTTAAATAGCTATAATATGCCTCAAACATTTTATTTAGTTGGAGTAAACTACAGCTGGAGACCCCCTAGCTTTAATGTCATGCATACAAAACAAACAGGAATCAAATGGATAATTAGGTGGCAATCATGGGTTAATATGAAAATCCATTTTGCAGGTATAATGTGGTTCCCAGGTTAATAAACTATTAAGTTTAGCACAGTTCATCACAGTGAATGAAAGAGATCACCGCCACTTAAAACATCACATCTGCTTATTTACAAGCTTTATTAACAAACGTGAAAGTCCCCTTCTTTCTTGTGCAATGTAGCAACACTGCTGTTCCCTGTGACAAATGTTGAAGTTATTTATAACATAACATATGATGGATTGAGAAAACATAGTAATTTAGATATCTGAGATTTATAATAAGGGTTGGGTATGGCAAGAAAACTGAAATCATCACACGCTTATGGATTTGATTAATAAAAGATTACAGAACAATTAAATGATAATAGTTCTACCTTTTGATAGCTTTCAGGTTTTAGTTTAGCAATGTGATAATGAACTGACAAAGATCCAGGGCCAAAATCAAGGCAAGTAAGATTTTGACACTGAAGTATAGTGATGAAATCAAAACTAAAGGATAATGTGATGCTAATGACTACACAGGTGGCGTCCCTTCTGAACTCATTGCTGATCAGCAAACCCAGTGCTAATGGCATTTTACTAATTGAGCTGCCTAGGCTCTACTGCTTAGGCTTTTTAAAATAAAGCTTCCGGCAACACAGCACCACTAGGCCCTTGTTTTTCCAATGGCGTTTTGCTCTTTTTAATTATGCTTGATCTGCAACACAGGACTATCCCAAGAAATCAAAAATACATAAAGTTATCCTGGATTTTGTTGTAGCTTGGTCTTTACATTTTGGCAGGTAGAGCTGCAAGTAACCATCCCTGTATTGTAATTTGCCAATCATCAGCCTATACAATAATGTATGATACAGCAACTAATAATACTCTGACATAGTACTTCATAAATGTGGTCAAGCATCATTATTCCCATTTTAAAGATGGGGAAACGGAAATGCAGACAGGTTACATGACTTGCTCTAAGAGTTACAAATAGAAACGAGATTTTCTGATCCTTAGTCCAATATTCACTAGATTACAATCCCTCCAAATATGAAGCACTTATCAGTGAGGGATGTTAGTGTTCTCACCAAAGGTCACTATTTAGTGTATGCTAGTTTATCACTTAAAGAAAACACCCCTCAGACCTGAAGCACTAGACCACTCCACAAAACTAGAGATAAGTGTCAGCTTTTGAGGAGAAACTCTAAACTAAAGCCATGTTTACACTAGTAAACTTACAGCGGCACAGCTGTAGCAATGCAGCTGCGCTGTTGTAAGCTCACTCATGTAGCCGCTCTATGACATAATTAAACTACCTCAACGAGCAGCAGTAGCTATATCAGTGGAAAAATGTCTCCTACCGATACAGCTCTGTCCACACCGGTGTTCATACTGGTGAAACTTATGTTACTCAGGGATGGGGTTTTTCCCCCACACCCGAGCAACATAATTTATGCCAACAAAAGAGCTAGTGTAGACATAGCCTACATCTAAGCCTTACTGCTTTAAGTAAAAGTGAAAGTGTAAACTATCCTTTGCTTCGATAAAAGAAAGGGTGGTTCTTACTAGAAGGATAAGAGTGATGGAAAAATCAGCTTTCCAGCAAGAATTTAAGGATACTGGAAATTAGCACAATGAAACCTTAGCTGTAATCTGACAGCTATGTTAATTTAGTTTGCTTCTGATCAAGCCCTAAGGCTGGAAAGTCTACCCTATCCTTGTAGTCCCTAACTTAAACTGAAGTGATAAATCCTCTGAAGAGCTGCACAGGACATTTATGTATTACAGACAACAGTTATTAGTTAACTTTGGTGAAAAGCAATTTTAAAATGTGTGTATGGAGCAAAGTGGGCTTCTCCTGGCAGGAAAAATGGATATAAATTTCTAGATTTGTCTTGTCAAACTAGCATGGAGACAAATTAAATCCACTTAAAATGTAACTAAAAATGGTACCTTGTTTTTCCATCAGATCTGCATCCTGCATGTGTTTAGATTTATAGTTACTTTTTCCTATTAGAATTTAAGAGGATAAAAGTTAAAGGGCATACCACCTCTGTGATGCTGGCAGACCAGGTGCCAGCTCATGCCAAGGCCCCTCGGCTTCACTGAACATTGACAAATGCATAGCTAGAAACCAGTCTGCCTCGCCTTTGTTTTAGTATTGCTAAAATAGATATCAGAGTTATAAGAATGTGTTTAGACTTCATGAAATGCTTGTAGGATGCTGCATATATTAATCTTACTTATAATATCTGTATCCTATGTTATAAGGTAATATTTCCATGTTTGCTTTGTAACTATAAAAGTTTGTGAAAACTGTAAAACCCCACAGTCAGGGGAGAAGCATTACCAAGTATGAAATACTAGTTTATCACAGGAAGTATCATCTCCTCCCCAACAAAAGAAGGCCAAGCTATTGTGGAACATCAGTGGACAAAAAAAGACTGATTGCCCCCCCACACACACCCAGGAAGTGGAGATGTGCATAAACTCTAGTCCCACCAGTTTGAGGTCTATGGGAAGGGGATAATAATTTTTCTTGACAGGGATTTTTAATCCCTGTGCTGCTAGGAATTTGGAGAGGGCAATATTTATAAATATAAGAAAGGGATCCCCAAGCTGCTTGGCTTGGCTTAACCCTAAAGGACATACAGAGCTTGCATATTATAGCAGCTTCTGTTGCCCTTTAGAACCTAAAACTGTATCTCATTTGTGTGTATGTTTACCTTCTTTAACTGTTTAAACAATACTCCTGGGAGAATTCTGCACCACTGCACAATGCAGAATTTTGCAGAAAATGTTGTGCACACAGAATTTCTTTTCCCCCACAGAAGTGAGCTACAGTGCTGCTGGTCACCACTAAGAGCCGCTGGACCCGGCAGAGCCCAGCTCACACATAGAAGACACTGCCAGGGGAGAGAGCTAGAGGGTTCCCGCTCGCCCTGAGGGAAGGAGATGGCGGTGCGCAGGAAACTCCACACAAACCTGGGACCGAGTATCAGGCTGTTTCTCCCTCTGGATCCCTGGGCTCTGAGGGAGGGGGGTGGGGGAAGAGGTGCAGGTATCTGGGGAAGGGGAGGCCCTGCAGCTGGGCTCTAGGTGTGTGTGGGTGGGTGGGCGGGCTCTGGGGAGAAGGGGGTGTGGGTGTATGGTCCCCCAGCTGGGCTCGGAGGGGCGAGGGGGGACTAGAGAAACAGGAACTGGGTTGTCATAGGGGTGTGTTTTAATTCTCTACCCCTGGAGGAATTTGTGTGTGTGTCTGTATTGTTACAGACATACTTGCTGACAGGTATTTTGAAATAAATTACCAAAATAATTGAAACTGGCATGATTATGTAGTGTTATTTTGACACACAAAATTTGCAGAATTTTAAAATATCGTGCACAGAATTTTTAATTTTTTGGTGTAGAATTCCCCCAGAAGTAAAATAACTCGTATTGAAAAAGAAATATATCTTTAGTTAATATTATAGGGTTATCTACAAACCTTGTCTTTGATTTGAGATATGAAGTTCAGTTGACCTGGGGCAAGTGACTGGTCCTTTGGGACTGGGGATCAGTTGGGATTTTTGGTGTAAGGGACCATCTATCACAAAGGCAGGCTTGCGTGGGTGGCAAGATAGACTGGAGTGCCAAAGGGGACTGTCTGTGACTCTATGTTAAGGCTGCAGGGTCGGTGCTACCATTTAGGCAAACTAGGCGGTTGCCTAGGGTGCCAAGATTTGGGGGCACCAAAAAGCGGTCCCCCCAATTTTTTTTTTTTTTTTTTTAAAACATAACTTTCATCCCTTCCCAGCGCGTGGTCGCCGCTCCACTTCTCCCGCCTCCCAGGCTTGCAGCGCCAATCAGCTGTTTGGCGCCGCAAGCCTGGGAGGGGAGGAGAATTAGAGTGGAGGCGGCGTGCTTGGGGAGGAGGCAGAGCAGAGGTGAGCTGGGGGGGAGCTGCGCGCCTCAGGGCGGGGAGCTGCCGCAGGGCGGGGGCGCAAGGTGGAAGTTTCGCCTAGGGTGCGAAACTTCCTTGCACCTGCCCTGGAAGGCTGTTATAGTGCATGAGGAATTCACACTTGTTAACTGGTTGGAGAAATCTAATTATAGAACATACACAACCAGTTTGGGGTTTGTGCCCTGATCCTTGACAGTCTCCCCTGAGGGTGGCACTTATGCTTTTGAGCTACTCTAGACAGCTTGACAACCTCATTATTCCATTAAGCAATGTTTGTAAAAGGAAAAATTGAGCAAAAATATTAAAGAAAGTCTTCATATTATATCAGCCTAATCAGATATTGATCTTACCCTTTCAATGCCATACTCTTTTCCTTCAAAATGTAGATGTGTGTGAAAACAATTATTCTTAGAATTAATCTTTTAGAAATACAGAATACTATTTACTTTTCCTAAATTTTGCTGCCATCTTGTGGCTATTATTTTTCACTCATTCAAAACTGAGTTGGCAAAAATTTTCTCCTTCAACAATATATCAACCTTGTTCTTAGTTGGATACAAGTCATCATTCTTTAACTGTTCTCTTACCTTTTGTAAAATATAAAAGATCAACAACTGAATATTCTGCAAGAAGTTAATCACATTGTGGACATCCATAAAACAAACAAACAAATACATAAATAAATATACAATATATTAAGGCTGGATTTGTTTTTAAATCTAACAATCCATAGAAAGTAACAAGTACATTTCCATCACAGAATACTAACAACTAAATTACTTCAAAACACATTTTCTTTTTAAAAATACAGATAAATTTGATGGCCAGTCAAATTATGACTAAAAGCACTGGTTAGAATGTCATAATGCAGGCAGGCTCTGTACCAGTTTCCACACACAATACCCCTGTAAAGCATGTCAGGAATCCTTCATGATGAAAGATTCATAAATATATTCATGCACTGAACCTGCAAACTGCTCCATACAGACAGACCCCTGCACTCATGGAGAGCTCCACTGACACCAATGGGGCTCCACACAGGCACATAGCCCCCCCAGGTGCAGAGGTTCTCCCACAAAGATCCATTTGCAAAATAAGTCTTAGTATAACCAAGATAATGTCACCCATCAATGAAACTAGTAGCTGTTTAAAAACAATTACCAGCACCTATACAACAGAGTAGGATTGGAAGTAAAGAATTCTGTACTCTTTGAAAACTGCAGGGTAAGTTTAGTATGTGTACAGAAGCAATTAACCAAATTGGACTTCCACCAGGATACCTGGGCTAACAACTTAATCAATATTGAAAGATCTTGCAGCACTTGTATCCACAAATGCTCATGTTATTTTTAAGGCTCAACCCCTCAGTTCTCATAATGATCCCCATAAAATTATGCTATGAATTAAGGTTGTCGTATACTGCATCTTATCTAGCAATACATTCTCCCATTGAACTAATGACCCAGTCAGACCCTGTTTAGCTTGAGATCCAGTAAGAGCACAGCATGGAGGTGTTATGCATAGGTTAAATATAGCACACTCCAGTGCAAAGATATTTTTAAATAGCCATTAGACCAAACGAATAATTAGGTGGATCTAATCAGCACACACAAGTAGCTGCACACATTAAGAGAATAGCCCTTTATGTGCCAAACAAAATCTGATTACTTTAAGTTAGTTTGTGCTCACAACTCCCAAACAATCAAGGAAAACTCATTGATTCACTCACCAACTCTCTCAAAACTTTTTTTTGGAGGGACGACGGAGGAGAAAGAAGAACTAATCACATTTTTTAAACAGCTACACTACACTCCCAGTTATCTGAATTCCCTTTATCCGAAAATCTTAGTTATCCGAATCCACATGTGCCCCAGGTATCTCTATCAATCACAAGCAATACATTCTTAAGGATAGATATACATATCCTTCCGATCATAGAAAACATGATGTGTAATTCATGCTACACCAGTATAACAATGTATCCACTCACTAAGTGGTTCCATGACACAAAATTGTGTCCAGTTCAAAGCACAACCCCTGTAACCAGCTGTATCCACAGCTGCATCTCCAGTCAGTGTTCCTTTTCCACCACAGAGCCTCGCAGCCTGGGTCATGGCCCTTCCTAGTAAAAAGTGCGGTGGAGATGTCACTGATGTTGCAATCATCACTGAGGGTAAAGCAAAGCCCAAGTGACTTTTCAAGCTGCCACTCCCAGCTGTTTACTGCCTCCCAGCCTACAGCTAGAACCCAGCTCAAAATAGTACTTCTATTTATCTGAATGCCCAGTTATCCAAAAGTTTCATATGTTCCCCAGAACATTCAGATAAACTTGATAGTACTGTATATATTTACTACACACTTTCTGGATCTTAAAAAAAGTTAGAGGGGTAGCCGTGTTAGTCTGAATCTGTAAAAAGCAACAGAGGGTCCTGTGGCACCTTTAAGACTAACAGAAGTATTGGAGCATAAGCTTTCGTGGGTGAATGCCCACTTCATCAGATGAAGTCTGCGTCTGATGAAGTGGGCATTCACCCACGAAAGCTTATACTCCAATACTTCTGTTAGTCTTAAAGGTGCCACAGGAC